CTAACCTCCATAGTACGCAGAACCCTTAGCTTCAGGTCAGCATTTAACAACTTCATGGTACTGTTCCCATGGTGATGGTTTCAATTTACCAATTAGGCAATTAACTTGAAATCATGGAAGGTGTGCTCTTTGTATTTTTATTTCCCTACCATAAAAACGATATCAGATGCTGATGAGGTGCTTTAAAGATAGTCATTAATTGATTAAACCCTCTCATCAACTCTTAAAAATGTTTACCAGCATGCTAATTTTCAGTAATGCCCTTTGAGTTTGAGGCCAGCCATAGGACTGTGCAGAAGGCTCCAGTCAGGGACTTCTGCTCCTGGCCAAATAGTGGTGTAGTTTTCCTTTGAAGTAAAAGCAGCTTGTGTGCTGCCTGTACCTGAAATCCCATTTTTCATGCACGAGGCACAGGTGTTCCACCTCTTCCTAATGTCCCAGGGCTCCCTGTGTAAGCCCCCACCCCTAGGCCTTCTACTCAATCTGAGCACAACAGAGCTTTCTAATTAAGCCTGTTTGGGTTGAACACAGTCATACCATTTTTAGTTTCAGGCCTCAATGAAAAGTTTTAGTTATTTACTTTATTTCCACCAACTCTTCTCTTTGCTACCTTTATTTGCTTTTCTAAACCTGTGCCACGATACTCAGTGCTCTGAAGCTCCTACTAATCCCGGGACACATCTCACCAGGTATTTTATTTAGGCCCACAGATTATAATTATCTAACATATTGTATCCATTCTGGGGCCAAGAGCAACTTCAAGCACACCCAACCCTTCAATCAGCCCCAGTTCCAGGTGTGTTAAATTCTCATTAGCAGTTTCTTCATTCATTCATTTACACACCAAGTATTTGTCCAGTGCCTGCTATATTTTAGGCACTGGACTGACTAGTGAAGAGTCAGTATGATCCCTAGCCTCAGAAAGCTTGTGGTTTTGTGGAGGAGACGACATTTTAAGTAAACGCACACATGAATATTAATTATAACTAAAATATATTCTTTAAAGGAAAAGAACGGAATGTTATGAGAATGTAATGTGGGTCGTGATAGTGGAGATATAGAATTTAGATGGGGCAGTGGTTACAGATGGGCTGTCTAGAAAGTGATGTTTAAATTGTACCCCAAAAGTTGAGAAGTGAGCACACACTGAAGGATCAACATAGACAAAAATGACCCAGGGAACCTACGGAGAAGGTCACTGGCAGCAAGAGTGCAGCCCAACATCAAGTCTCTAAGTTAGGGCAGGAGCTACACCCTGCTTGACCTTGGAGACCAGGGTTGGTATTGAAGCTCATACCAGACCTGTAACTTATGATTCTAAAATAGGCTCTCCTCGACGGCTGAACGTTGAAACTGAAGTCAGATGTCCAAATTCTTCCACCACTGCCTGAGCAGGGACTGGCAAATTTAGACCCAGAGGCTCTTTCAGAGTCTGCTGGAATCTCAGGTAAACACATATCCCTTTTCCTCATTCATATCTTCTTCCCCACCCTGAACCACACCCAGACTCTGCTCAGGTCCCTGTTGTAGAAACAAGTGCTTTGGGAATGAGAATATGTCTTCACCATTGCTAGGACTGGGGCCTTTCATTCTTCCACCATTGTGTCAGTGGGAAAAGACCTAACTTGCCATCACAAAAGAAAGAATTTTATAATGTTAATTTTAAATTAATTTTAATTAACTTATTATTATTTAATTATTAATCAAAATTAATTTCAAAATGTTAATCTTAATGTCTTTTAATGCCACTTTATATCTTAAGTCGATTACACATTAACTTCTTAAAAATAATGTGCTTTTTATTTAATTTTAGACCAATCCTAGATCCAGACTCCACAAAGAGGCCCCTGACACTTAAATAATTAAGAATAATAATGAATGTAATAATCATCACTCTTTCCCAGAATTCAAAAGCACTTTTCACTTATTTGACTTCTTAAGCTACAGGAAGATAAATCACATCAGGCCTGGGGAGAGAAGGAAGAGTTGCAACTTGTAATTCAGACACCCAAAGTCCACAGAAGGAAAGGGGACCCAATCAGCTTCCTAATGATGTGGTTCTTTAACAAGTGATACCAGCCACCCGTACCCTCTGCTTGCGTGAATAAATTATTCTTGCCAGGTTCGGTTATTCCTTGACAGCTGAAGGAAGACATGTCCTGTCAGCTTCATCAAGGGAGAGGGTAAAGGTAGATAATTGTAGATGTTATGGTATGGTTATGTCAAGTTCATTTCACTGTTCTATTTTGGTACATTTGAAAATTTCCATAATAAAATGTTTTATTTTAAATGTTAGTCTTTTTATTCTGATTGAATATTTCTAGATTCCCTCTCTCAAATATTTCTCTGTGTTATGGGACCAAATCCCAGTCATCTCTCACTGGTAGCCGCTCTGGCAACAGTTATAAAAATCTATTGTTTGGAGTACCCAGGGGGTCAGTTGGTTAAGCATCTGCCTTGGGCTCAGATCATCGTGATCTCGGAGTCCTGGGATTCAGCCCTGCTTTGGGCTCCCTGCTGAGTGCTTCTCCTTCTCCCTCTGCCCCTCCCTCTGCCCCTCCCCCCACCCATACTCGTTCTCTCCATCAAAGAAATAAATAAAATCCCTAAAAAAAAATCTTTTAGAATCTGTTGTTTGGTGGAGTTAGAAAAAAATAAAGACTCAAACTTTGAAGTATGAGAAGGAAAACAGCTATCTACCTTGAGTTCACACTATTTCAATTCAATAAACAATTTCAGAATTAGACCCATCAAGACCAGGAAGGTGAGTGTCAGATAGACATTACCATCTTTGTCACCACTGGGCAATGGTACAGGCACTTAAAAAAAAAAAAATTCAATTCTTGGCTGAGAAAGCATGATTCTGGTAATGCAGAAGAAAGAACTCTCTTTTGAGACAAAGTGTGCTTCCCAACCTTCTCCCTGCTACACATACATAAATGCTCCCAAAGAGAGGCCTGGATCAATAAAAAGAAAATTAAACCACTTAGCTGGAAGTGGTGGTCTTGATAGAACCAGACTCTTGGGAAAACTCTTGGAAATTTCCATTCTAGAATCTTCTCATTTATACGAATTGGGAGAGGAATCATAATCCGAAGGATTTTACCTTCCCAAAGGAGGGTCTGTTTCCAAATGGCTTTTTGAACACACATAAGAAGAAAACCCAAGGCAGGTTCCAGCCACACACAGCTTCCTAGCTTTACAGGATTTCACTGGAGCCAGAGGAATGCAGTGGCTACTTGATGCCTCAGTTTCCACATTTATCAAATGGTGATAATATAGGTTATTATGGGAATTAAATAAGACAATATGTAGGAAGTACTTAGCACAGTAGCTAATGCATTGGAAGTACTCAATAAATGGGTTTGGCTTTTGTAAATTATTTGATTGTTTACCACATCTTTATATGCTAGCTACATTTTAGCATAATTCAGACAAGCCCATTCACCATTCAATCCAAACCTGTGTACAGGGAAAAAAAATATATTTTTCCAAACACAAATATAAACTCACTTTATTATGCTTTTGAAATAAGAAAATATTAGCATAAATATCCGATCTATTAGTAAAATCTCAATCTGAAAAGAAGGCCCAATGGTACAATGTATCTATAGAAGTTAGTTTCTTTGCTTTTCTAATCAATTTCAAAGTAGAGCTTGAAGTGATATAAAGTAATATTTAAGATGTTGAATCATCACACCACAATCTTGTTCTTGATTCCACAAAATACCTCATTCCCACAAATTCCTCCCTTTTGAAATAAACAGTATAGCACATGGAACCTTAACAGTAACATTTTGTGAAGTTAGACAATGATAGACTCTAAAATCTACATTTTCCTTGCTGGTTTTCTAAAAATGCTGCTCCAAAAGGGAAGTAAAATATAAATTTATGCATGTATAAAGTAAAAATATCTGAATTATTTTATATAAAATTTTAAAAGCTCTGGTTTCTATACTCATTTTTCATGAATACTTATAATACTTTAGAGAAATGATATTGCAGAGCTGGATAAACAAAATTTTACTGTGATCACCAGGGAAAAATATGTATAAGAATATTTATGTCTATATTTCAAAAAATCTTTAGGCTTGAAGATTCAAGAAATGACATTTAGTGTAAAGTGCTACTCCAAACACACATAAGTTCATTTAACTTTGACTTTTTTACAGATATTTTCCAAATATTGTTTTTAAATTGCAAGTGACAAAGTAAATGGGTTCAAAACTACAGTCTTAAACTAAGTAAAAAGATAACAGGCAACATTCAAACAACTATGAAATACTATAGCTTTCTTCCATTAAATCAAGTCAGTATTTCATTCTGAAAGCAATGTATTAATATGTAATTTCATGAAGTAATCCAGTTATAGGCAAAGACTTGGTGAACATGCTTAGTCAACCTAAGATCTTCCTCAGTGCCGGCCTCTGGAGGGACAATGGATAAAATGGCCTTCAGGGTCAAAATATTTCTTTGAGGCTCAGATTGTAAATTTTTCAATAGTTAAAATCCCCCTTCAACGGTGTAACTTGCTCCTAATTTACAGGTATGACACAATTTGGGGATGCAAATGATTGGAGACAAGGCAGCAGATCTGGCCTTTCTCTTCTTTCCCGTGTCCTCCCTCTGAAAAGTCAGAAATTACTCCAAACTGTAGGAAAACGGAGTACTTGAGAATGAGTAAATTATTCTAATCCAATGAGTGAAGGTACATAAACAAGTTCTATGAACTATAAAGTGTCACAGCATTAGCCTTCTTAAGCTTCTCTTCCCTCTCCCCCGACCAAAGCTCTAATTAATGAGTGCTGGGATGCTGAGCCGAATCCCTAAAGCCTTCTCACTCAGGTGAAGAGGCCCAAGTTAGAATCAAGTTTCTAATGATTATCCATAAAAAGATAAAAACTTAACCCAGGGAGAAAGGAATCTCACCTTTAGAATATTTTTCAGGCTAACCTCCCAAGTTCTGTTTTGGGTAATGATGAACCGAAATGTCTGATCTGAAAAGAAAACTCCCATCAGAGACCTGCTGATTCAAGAATTCAATTCCTGCCCAGCTGGAATTCTGCCAACACTTTTAGTTCCTGGCAGGACTGTCTGTACGATTCAAATAAAAGCTTTGTTTCTAAAGAAAAAAAGGGGGGAGAGAAGTGTTGGTGTTAACATTTCAGGTAAGATTTAGAAATCACCCTTGTGACTTGCTGTATTCTGTTAAATTCAGTGTTATATTAATAGACGTGGGTGCCTAATCAGAGGGGAGGGGCTCAGCCTTAGGAAGCCTTCCGTGGAGGTGGGAGGTGAAGATGTCAACCCTTTCTCTAGTAGAGTTTCTCACTAGGGCTTTACACGGAGTTGTTGAATGCTTTAGATTCTGCAAAAGGCAGTGATTAATACAGACCCCTTTCTCCAAGAAAGCATCAAGTAAGCAAATCTAACATGCCATTGTTTCCGTTTCCATTCTAACTGAGGGAGTAAGACAGAGAGGCAGAGAGTTGGCAACAAAGCTTCCCAATGTCATCTGCTTTGGTCATACTTCGAAATTACCCCCAATTACAGCGAATTATAGCAGCTCCGTCCTAACATACTGCATAGAGTAATGCTCATTGCCTGAAAGGTAAAAGTTCGATTGTGAGTACAAATCGCAAATGAGGAAACTCTGAGCCAGTCCAACTTGCTTTGTTATTTGGTATTCTCCCCTATAAACACGTTAATAAAATAATAACGGTAATTTCCTCGGAAGGCAACATCTCTGCAAAATTAAATGCTTCCGAGACATGTGCAGTCCAGTGGTCCCACCTCTCTCAGCCCTGAAGATTCCCAGGCTCAAGGCCATGGGTCATGTGGGGTTGTAACCAGGCACTGTCAGAGCCACACACTGATCGTCTTTGTGATCTAACTCTCTTGCTACAGAATAAGCCACTGATCCATTGGTCCATAGCTGCAGCTTGGGATCCGATTCTTTGGCAAGGAACCGCAGCTGGGTTTTTTTCCTCTTCTTTACGAGTCTAGCAAAGCCAAGCAACACAGAACTGAATATCATTGAAAATCCACAAAGAAGAAATGCCGCTGTGTAGCTGCCAGTCGTATCGACAAGCCACCCTGTAATAAGCAACCACAAAATTACATTGTCGAGTGTAAAATCCAATTATTTACGTGCTCCCAAATCTAATGCTTTCTAATGATAATAAACACTAGGTTGCTAACACCACCATCATAGTTTTGACACACAAAGCCGATCTAAAAACATTGTGCAGCAACTGAAAACTGCATTCTGTTTTCTAGGAAAACTCGTAAAACAGATTGTTGTTCTGTAAAGTACTTGGAGGAATGTCCCATTCTTAGTGATCACACAACAAATATTATTATTAATACCAGCAAGTATGGAAGAAAAGATAAAAATAGTGTCATTCAGGGGCGCCTGGGTGGCTCAGTGGGTTAAGCCTCTGCCTTCAGCTCAGGTCATGATCTCAGGGTCCGGGGATTGAGTCCCGCATCGGGCTCTCTGCTCAGTGGGGAGCCTACTTCCCCCTCTCTCTGCCTGCCTCTGTGCCTACTTGTGATCTCTCTCTGTCAAATAAATAAATAAAATCTTTTAAAAAAATAGTGTCATTCAAATTATTGAGTTGGGATCATTTATGTTTGTTGTATAATTGTACTGAATGTTATTTCTATTCCCAGTACCCACATACTGTCTATCTCGAGTAACATAACATGCTTCTGGATAAAGCAGAATTCAAATTTTCAGTTGGATCCAGTCACTGTACCCTGTGCAGTTTGAAATCAGAACTTTGGGCCATCGTAGAAGTTGCCAATGCAAACTGTACCTCGTATCACCAGGTATCATTTTGCAATCATGGCTCCCCCCCCTCTTTATTTCTTCTTGCAACAAATTAATATCAATAGCTATTCCAGCTCTAAATTTTGAGGAGGACCAAGGCATATGATATGCAAAACATGGGCCACAATGATCAGAGAATCAAATTAGACCTTGGCAGGCAATTATTTTGTGATTAAAAAGTTTAAAAAAAAAAAGTCCTCTAAATTGGGGTGCCTGGGTGACTCAGTTGGTTGAGCATCTGACTCTTGGTTTTGTCTCAGGTCACGATCTCAGGGTCGTGGGGTTAAGCCCTGCATCAGGCTCTGCATTCAGTGAGGAGTCTTCTTGAAGATTCTCTCCCTCTCCCCCTCCTTCCTCTCATGTTCTCTCTCTCTCTCTTTCTAAAATAAATAAAATAAATCTTTAAAAAAGTGCCTCTAAACTTAAATCCACTGGAAAGGCATATGATTTTACCTTTTGCCTACTTCAATTCATTAGTCAAAAATGTTATGTAGAGGGGTGCCTGGGTGGCTCAGGGGGATAAAGCCTCTGCCTTCGGCTCGGGTCATGATCCCAGAGTCCTGGGATCAAGCCCCGCATCGGGCTCTCTGTTCGGTGAGGAGCCTGCTTCCTCCTCTCTCTCTGCCTGCCTCTCTGCCTACTTGTGATCTCTGTCTGTCAAATAAATAAATAAATAAATCTTTTAAAAAATGTTATGTAGAAATTGTTATAAGCCCCACAAAGTTTCCTACAATTCACAGTATCTCAAATATTTTAGTTATTGTGGGATTTACTTATGCATATATTTCGGAATATATGCATATATATGTATGTATGTATGACATATGTATGACATATGACTGAGTTGTCATTTTAAAGGTAATTAAATAAATGGTAAGATTCTCCAATGCCTGACAATAGGTATAATGTCTGATTTACCAAAGGAAGGCCACAGATTGAAAAAAGATCCAGGAATTCCAATTTCATTGATGCACTGTGACTTTTTAAAAGAATTACAGAATTATACTGCTCCTAAAGGTTGGTGAACATAAAAATTGGCTATGGAGGGAGGATGTGGGGACACTTTGGGAAACTGCCCCCAAAATGACCCCCCAAAAAACATTTTGGGGGCACTTCCCAAAATGAAGCATTAAACATGTAGCCCTGTATCACCAAGTTTAAACTGACCAGGATATTTTATCCACAGCTCTGAAGCAACCAGATTGCCCCCCATTGTGCTTCTTTAGCAATCACTAGAGTTTGGAAATAATTCAAAACTTTTTATTCACAATATCAGTTAAAGCAGAAATCCTGCCTTCTTCAAAAATTCCCTTCCTTTCTTCTAAGCACATGTTTGGCTCATTTCTTTTTTGCCTATTTTCAGAGACCTTCACTCTCTTAGTTTTAGTTTAGGCAGGTGATAAAATCAGAACCAGTTATTCTCGGGGCACCTGGATGGCTCAGAAGGTTAAGGGGCCGCTTTTGGTGCAGGTCAAGATCCAGGAGTCCCAGGATCAAGCCCCGCCCCAGGTTCCCTGCTCAGTGGGGAGTCTGCTTCTCCTCCTGCCCCTCACCCTGTTCTTGGGCTCGTGCACTCACTCTCTAATAAATAAATAAGCTCTTTTAAAAAAGAACCAATTATTCTCAATCTTTAGTGTTCATGAGCTTCACAAGAAAGCTGATTCAGAATGTAGATTCCTGGAAAGATTCACATCACAAAGGAGGATCAAGGAATCTGCATTTTGTAACAAGGGCCCCAGGGGGTTTTGACGCAGGGGGTCCCAGAACTTCCATTTTGAGAGACACTGGTCTAGACCACATTCTCCGGGAAGGAGGGAGGGACTCTGACCTGTTTGCTGCCATAGTAGTGCCAAAGGAAATGCTAGTGCGCACAAGCAATAAATAGTTGTCAAATTACTTGTTCAATCATGCTTTAAATTTCTATAGCATTTGACGGTTCACAAACCATTCTAGATGCTTTATCTGATAATCCCCAAATCTTTAAATCCAAATCTGGCCTCCCTCTAAAGCTCAGATTTCATCTTTAAACAGCTCTGTTGGACATTTTATTGGGTATTTCAGATATCTGAATATTTCTAAACTTTTAACTCATTGTTTTTTTCTGGCAAAGCCACTTTTTCCAGCTTCCTTATTTCTTTCAACCATGCCATTATTTTCTAAGTTATCTTTGTGTTTTCTCCTCCCTCACTCCCACATGCTAAATTCAGTTGATTCCCCCCCCCCCTACTTCCTCTTAGCCCTAAGAGCTCATTTCTATTTCTGCTGCAGCAGCCCTAGTGTAGGTCTCTATCAGTTTGCTTCTGAACTATTAGAATGGAATCCTAACTGCTTCTCCCCTAATTACCAGGTCAATTGCTAGGTCCCAGTTTCTAAAATATACTCTCTACCATATTACCCCTTTACACAAAACCCATAATATTATCCAGAGTCTCTGAAGATTACAGGGCCCTTTTGGCTCCTTTGGCTGGCACTCCAGACACTCCATTGTGACATGCTCATTCACCATTTCAGCCTCGCTGCCTGCTATCCCCAAGTGGAACCCTGTACTCCCTCTAAACTTCCCTCTGCATGTGCCTGACTTATTTACAAGTTTTGAACAGCTGCTCCATTCCATTGCTTCCGTCATTAGTGTGGAAGGGAATCAGGACCCTAATTTTGGATTTTTTCTTTCCAAGTAGGCTAAGGTCTCCATTGGCTGGAAGAAAGTTATAAAACAAGGATATAAGTAAGACCATGATATTTTGATGGCTCTTGAATCCCTTTCTCTTTCCCTCTTCCCAACTTATTTTCTAATCCTCATTGTCTATGCATGAGTTCACTGTTTTCACATTAGTATGACAAACAGAAGAGGTGGTTGGGGGATCTCTCCGGAAACCTACCTGCAATGGGCGGGCTCACCAGGTACGGCACTGCATGAAGGAAGTACACCACACCGAGCGCTGAGGACAAAGAAGTGGTCCCCACTATTTCTGCAGTCACTACAGGGATCAGAGTCACGTAGGCACCATCAAAGTAGCCAAAGGTACAAGAGAAAGGCACGAGCAGGGGAAAGCTCTGAAGCATTGGGAGGCAGAGATAGCAGAGCCCATCTAGTCCCACGGCAAAGAGGTAGCAGACATACCGGTAATTCTTCAGGCACCTGTGGATTTGAAGATCAAGAATGAGGGCAGTATGTACAGGTTCTATCTGAGAGCTTTAGAACCATGCCCCCCGCCCCCAGCAATAAGCATCGTTGTTACTTATAGAGAAGGCTTCCCATGGTTATCTATGTTGTCTGCCTATCATTCTTCTGGTATATGGAGACACAAATTCATCTTCCCAGGAAACATGGTATGGCAGAAAGTAGCATACGCTCTGAAGTTAGAAAGATAGGAATTTTGAATCCAGCTCTATACCTCCTCACAGCTCACCTCTAATCTCAGTTTCTTTAGCTATAAAATGGGACTGTTACCAATCTTGTTAGGGTTACCCTAAGGATAGTTCTAAAATAACAGGTACAGTATCAGGAAGCTAACATTTCCTAGCAGCGTATCCTACTAGATGTTTTCAGATAGGTCATCCACTGGTATCTGGTACATCATATATGCTCAAAAACCCAACATAGGGGCGCCTGGGTGGCTCAGTTGGTTAAGCGTCTGCCTTCTGCTCAGGTCATGATCCCAGGGTCCTGGGATCAAGCCCTGCATCGGGGGCTTTTCCCTCTTCCTCTCCCCATGCTTGTTTTCCCTCTCTCACTGTGTTTGTCTGTCAAATGAATAAATAAAATATTTTAAAAACCCCAGCATATAAAAGGGAGAAGCTAGCATATGAAGACATTAAAATGCTTTACCAGAGACTATGAAGGTCTTGTACGAGGACGAAGTCTTATTTTGAGCCCTCCCCAGTGGTACTTCCATTCCACTTTCCCTCTCTAGCTCCAAACTCATCATTGTTACCAAATGGCACTGATACCATCATTATTACAAAGACTCAGTATAATATCAGTACTAGCAGTTTATGCTTTACAGTTTTCAACCTACCATCTCACAAAATGCTAAGGGTTAATAGAAAAATATTGCACTGGCCTGTTTTGCCGATGAAGACCCTTAAGGATCTGAGGGTTAGTGATTTTCCCTAGCTCACAGGGATCATAAGGGGCAGAGTCAGCACAAGAACTTAGGTCTCGATTATCTCTGACTGCATACACCTCTATCAAACCTACACCGGGCTACTTCTTGTCGAGTTGATTGTCCAGACGGATGCCCCTGCTCTCTGCTCTTTTCCTTACCCACTACATTTTTGGAATTAATTTTAAATATTCATAGCCCTGGAGAATGGCAGTGGAACCCTGGTTAATTACCAAAGACATAATACAGGATCATTGCTCTCCCACGTCATAGCTCAAGTGTGAAGAGTCCGTTTAGGAGAAGATGAGGACCTCGCTCTCTTCAATCCTAGCAGATAAGCATTAGCTGAAGAAACCACTTGGTGGATTTCTGACAACTGTGATTCCCAAACTTAAAATGATAATGAAAGTATTTGCTCTTTGAATTGTCAAACACAAATATGTACCTATAGATCATGTATGATTATTGCCCCTGGTCTTCCTGCCTGGACTGAATTCTGTTCCTCTCTCCATTGCCAGCCCGCCTCTGGGGTCATTAAAAAATAACTAAAACCACAACACCCAGCCTGAGGACTGACTTGACTTGGGATGAAATTAAATGTGTCACCAGAACTTGTAGTGACCACAGGTTTTGGCCACTTAGACTTATCCACTCTCCCAAACCATCTAGGTTGGCAAACTATGGCCAAATCTACCCCACCACCTGGTTTTGCACTCTCTATGAACTAAGAATGGTTTTCTATTTTTGAGAGGGCTGGAAAAAAATAAAAAGAACACGATTATTTTGATACATAAAAATTATATGAAAAATTAAAATTTCAGTATCCAGGGGCACCTGGGAGGCTCAGTGGGTTAAGCCTCTGCCTTTGGCTCAGGTCATGATCTCGGGGTCCTGGGATCGAACCCCGCATCAGGCTCCCGGCTGAACAGAGAGCCTGCTTCCCCTGTTCTCTCTCTGCCTGCCTCTCTGCCTACTTGTGATCTCTGTCTGTCAAATAAATAAATAAAATCTTTAAAAAATTATAAAAAAATTTCAGTATCCATAAGTAAAATCCTACTGGTACACCAGCACTTGCGTTTGTCTGTATAGGGTCTACAGCTGGTTTGTGCTATGACAACAGAGTTGAATAACTGTGATCACATGACCCACAGAGCCAAAAATGTTTACTCTCTAGCCCTTTACAGAAAATGTTTGCCGACCTCTCACTAGAAGAACAAGCAAGGGAGTTGCTTTCAGATATGGAAAACTTCCCCCTGGTAGGGAACCAGCTGTGGTCTCAAAGGATTTTACCTTCTGTCAGTTAGCCATCCAAATGTGATATTGCCAACAATGTCAATCACCCCAAGTATGGACATAAGGAAAGCAGCTTGCTGGTGACTCACTCCAACACTCACAGCGTAAGGTACCAAGTACACAAAGAGAGGACTGCAGCCATAAGCCATAAAGAGAACAGAGATGGCTAACACGACAAAGTCTGACATCAGTAAAAAACTGTATTCCTGCTGCAAAGAGCAACAGAGGCAGGTCTGCACACATTTTTTAGTCAAAGTGGAACAGGGAGCCACTCGCTTGAAGTCTTGTTTCTGAGTTCTACTGATGGGGTTCCGCTCTGGAGTCGTCTGGTCCTCTTTCAGGGTAATGGGCCGCATCAAGGCACCACAAACACAGAGATTTAGAACAAAGCCCCCGAGGATGAGTAGCGCTCCCCGCCAGGAAAACTGTTCAATAAGGAGCTGAACCACGGGGGCCAGAACGAAGGTGCCGATGCCGCTTCCGGACATGGCGATCCCGTAAGCCAGGGCTTTCCGTCTGCTGAAATACTTGCCGACCATGGCAATTGCTGGAGAGTAACAGAGTGCAAATCCAAGACCTAAGGATCGAGAGAAGTCCATGAGTGCTGGCACGCCATGAACAGCCAATGAAAGAAAACATCTCAGAATAAATTTATTTGGATGAAGGAGAATCTGGCCTCTGTCAAACCCTCTGAAAACTATTTTCTACACCAAGCTGCAGGGGAGTCTCCCCCAACCAGTTATCCACAGTTGGGAAAATACAGCATATATATGACTTTCTTCTTGGGAAGAAACCCTTAAGGGATATGGCTTCTTAAAATGAAATGAAGAACTTAAAAACTGTCAGACAAACTGAATTTGAATTAACTAGAAAATCAGGATAATGCTGACTTAAAGAAACTTATGCTCCCCATCAATGAATCTTTTTATCTTAAATTATCCAGAGAATTACCTCAACTTTTCACGGCCTATGAAAACACAACTCTGATCATCAGGACCACTCTGGAATTTGGGTTTCAACAGCATATATGGCCCCGTGAAATTCCAGGGTAATTTCACACGACTGGGAAACGTCATGCCAGCTTTTTACACGGACCTTGCATATAGACAGAGTAACTTGAAAATAGTCCTTAAAGTCAGCGGAAAGTCTCTGAAAGGTTTTCAGCTTCAATTCCTTTTAAGTCAAGAAATTCTAAAGGGAGTAAACCCTGGGAATTCATGGCATCCAAATGGAAAAACAGAACCACCATCAGCTCCCTATTCCATCCGTACTGCAGGGTGACCAATGATCCTGATTTGCCGGGACTGGTAGGTTTCCTGGAGATGAGGTTTTCAGTGCTATGACCGGGGCCCTCCTTGATAAACTGAGATGCCTGGACACCCTAGCAGCTGGGCTCTTTAGACACATTTTCTTAGCCAACAGAGCCAGATTTATAAAAATCACTATGAGATTATGGCTTTTATTGGCCAGGTCACGCTACCTGCTATGTGGCACAGTGCGCAGACTGTGAGTTAGTGCTAATCCACGTTGCTCTGAGTGATGGGGCATATTGCCACTCCAGTGCCACCGACCAATCCCACCTTGATGCCAAGCAGTCCCCTTAGCATCTGATTTATGGATGCACATGGGTTTCTTTTCTTCCTGTAGCATTCATTGTAATTCTCTAAAGTGTACTTCCATGACATTGAGAGAAACCCCCATTTACTGGACAGTGATCTTCACTATAAAGCAGGGCCGACTCAGGTCGACCACAGGTAGTATTTTTAGTTCTTGGCAAAGATGTTGGGAGAACGGTCACTGCTGAAAATGTATGTTGCCCTGGCTAATCTCTCATTACTTCTGAGTACAGAATCTCACCATGCTCTGCTGCCCTAGGGGAAGCCACCGTTACTTCTATCATGCGGCCGGTACATTTTCATTACAGCAGTACAATCAGCTGGATTTCCAGCTCTTTCAACTGCTAGGTTAGGTAAGCGTAAACTAGGTCAGCTAAACGGTGCATCTAGCAAGATGAATATTTTATGGATTACGGTTCTGTGGATGTGCTTAACAAAAATTGAATGGGGGTGGGGCGAGACAAGGGGTACCAAGTGCCCTTACCTGTAAGAACTCCCAGAGTGAGGTAGAGATGCTTCAGATTGGTGGCGAATGAGCCCAGGATGAGACCAGTAGAGGCCAGCAAGCCACCCAGCATGATTCCCACTTGGCAGGATAAGTGGTTACTGACAACACTCCCAAGTGGCGCTTCAAAAGCAATAATAAATGGGTTTAACAGAAGGGCCTTGAGGGCACTGAGAGAAGACTGTGGTGTTGCATCGGCAAAGCCGAGAATGATGGGCCTTTACAGCATCAAGCCTGTCCTGCTCATTCTATGGATTTGGTCACTGAGGAGAGAGGAAACGACCTGTCCACAGTCACACAGAGAACAGCTAACAAAGCTGGAATTAGACGGGGTCTGCTGACTTGCTTTTCGCTGCCCCCTCACTTCATTCTCTTACCGTTATAATCCCGGGGCTCTGGGGTGCTTGAACAGTGAATCAGCTCCTTATTTAAATTAGTTATCACCTGTACTGGAATGTGCCTTGTATGTTTTATACGGTTTTGATCATGCACCAATAGCAATAATTACGGCAGTCAGCTGGCAGGGAAGGAAAGCGGACACTGTGGCTGGCAGTGCTAGGCAGGAAAGGCCAGGGAAAGAGACCACAGACACATTTCACAATCTGGTACTGTTGTCAGGCTTTAGGAAACTCTGTGGATGAGAAATCAAATGTTTCACGTCCATGGTGATATTTTGGTTGGCCTCCCTCTACTTTGTGGTTTAACAATGTGTCAGAACTGTGCCAACTGCCAGTTTATAGAATATTAATTAAAGCTAGAACAAACTGCAGAGAAATAGAAGTTGAGGGGAATATGACATGTCCAAGATCACCAAGAAGCACTAGCTCGGGGCACCTGACACCAAGGGCAGGGTTTTTTCACCCTCTTACTCTGTCTCTTTGGGCCTTCTAGACTGACGGTAAGGGAGGTGGGTAGGGGGGCAGCATGTAAATTATTTCTGTGGAACAAGTTGGTACCAGTGTTCTTACTAACAAGATCAGAAGAGCAAGTTCTCTGGGTATTTGTGGAGTATAGTTTTGTATTGATCAAGCTGAAACCGGGGCCTGGCTCCAATGTACGTGACGGAACCAGTCATCAGCCTGATGTCTCCTGTCTAGTTCATACAGTTGCTGGCTGTATATAGAACCTCTGGAAGATGGGAAGGAGTGACCCTCCTGAGACTATATCTAAGTCTATCAGAAAGTGACAAAATTTAGACCAAACTCGATGAAAATTGTTTACTTCCCTGTTTATCCTAGGGCAAAGCGCCCCACCCCCCAGGGAGTGCCCTATACTTGACTCCACAGTCTTTTGTCCATGTCCTGAACTTCACCAATGTTGTACGGTGAGCAGCTGCGCACATGACAACTGGCTACAACAGGTCGGATGGCTTGCATGGCCTCAAGCCCTTGAATTTAAAAATGGTGCATCTAACACAACCCTGCTTGATCACACAGTCACTATGATGGTGTTGGTCACTGAAGGTCATTTATTCCTCTTCTGGGGATTATAAATATTCTCCAAAAGATAAAGGTGAGGGAGATGAGTCACCTGTGTCCTCTGAGAACGATAAACATGGCTCACTTGGCATGTTCATATAAAGGCTGTGACTAATAACGTGACCCTGAAAACAAAGGGACTGTCTGATTAAAAAAAAACAGGCTAGAAAATACAAAGATATTATTTTTTGATCCCTTAAGACCTTCCAGTGTTATCAGTAGCCAGAGCCAACTTAGCCTTCTCCTGAAACTTTTTAGCCCTAGAATTGCTCTCAAATTCCTCCCAACAAAGGAAATACATTTCTGTACAATTCAACTGATTCCTGTGTATGTACATTTTTTCCTAAAAAAATAAGTATGAATCAGTACCTAGAATGGAATGAGTTGGTGTTATTTATGAGTTATTAAATAGCATAGTATTTCCCTTTTGACACCATGACATGGCCTGAAGAGTAACAGTAGTTTTTCTTTTTTAATACTAAGGATTCATTTAAATGAAATGTTTAGGGGCACCTGGGTGGCTCAGTGGGTTAAGCCTCTGCCTTTGGCTCAGGTCATGATGTCAGGGTCCTGGGATCAAGTCCCACATCGGGCTCTCTGCTCAGCGGGGAGCCTGTTTCCCCCTCCCCCTCTGCCTGCCACTCTGTCTACTTGTGATCTTTCTCTCTCTCTCTCTGTCAAATAAATAAATAAATAAAATTTAAAAAATAAATAAATAAATGAAATGTTTAAATGAGCCTAGACTACGAATAGATCATTTCAACTTGACTCAATCTCAGACACTCTCTAAGACATTAACATAATAACTTTGGTTTAAAATGTTCAAAAAGAAAAATCTCAAGGTTAGTTCTCCTCTATCATACCAGTGGATTAAGAGAGTCCATGAGTTCTGAGAACACTCTATAGACCCTATTTGTACCCTTGGGGTCTCTTGAATGAAATTTTAACCATGGTAAGTACACTTCTCTCATGACTTCACCATCCTATCCTTCCGTCATACTTTTCTATTTTTTTTTAATTTTATTTATTTATTTGATAGAGAGAGGTCACAAGTAGGCAGAGAGGCCGGCAGAGAGAGAGGAGGAAGCAGGCTCCCCGCTGAGCAGAGAGCCTGATGTGGGGCTCGATCCCAGGACCCTGAGATCATGACCTGAGCTGAAGGCAGAGGCTTAATCCACTGAGCCACCCAGGTGCCCCCCCTCATACTTTTCTAAGAATAAATGTTTATGCATGAAAAATGAAATCCACTAGCTAAATTATGAATCTCTGGGAAGGGAACAGAATGAAAATAAGACCTGAGCTGTGATGCACATATTGTTGGCCCTCATTTAAGGAGACTGCATAGAAATGGCTCACAGTGCTATCTGATGGCTGTTTACATGACTGGAGAATGAGAGGACCATAGCATTTAGAAGAGAGAAGCCAAGCATATACTGTATGGTTAGCTGCTTCCCAAATCAGGAGGAGTCCTGTGATGCCCAGCACCCTATCTCATTATGGGAGAACCAAATAATATGCGTCTTTTTGAGAATATTAACTGCCTGTTTCATCTACCATCAGCCAAGACCATTAATTCCAAGAGCATGTCTGGTTGGGTTTGGCTGAAAGTAGGATCGGTCTTCTCTTTTTGTATAGTCTTAGCCAATTTTTAGCAAACCCTTCCTACTCAGAAAAAAATGGGTAAGCAAAAGCAGTGGAAGGTCACTGTCAGGTACAGTTCAAAAGTCACCAGTCTATCCCTGGTAAGTGATACTCACCACAGAGCATGGTCACGCAATCTATAATGGAATGGATCCAAGCCGTTTGGGCGTAATCCTGAGTGAAGTATGTCTGGAACTCCACAAAAAAAATGGAAATACATCTGAAAAATACAATGCAAGCATTTTATAGAAAAAAACGTGAATGAACATGGATCTAAACCACAGCTTCAAGTTCTGGGTCCGCTGTTTGAATCTCTGTAAGCTTTAATGGTTTTCGGTGGTACATTGCTGGACCACCATAGGTGGGAAGTCAAAGCTATTGGACCATCTAAAGGATAAGACAAACAAACCTATTTGCCCATCAATAGGGGACCAGCCAAATAAATTTAAACTTATCAAGAAAATGAAATATTTTTAGCTGTTAGAAAGGATGATCTGGTGTGTATTTATTGATCTCAGAATAAATTCACAAGACAGTCTTAAGTAAAAAAGTAAGTTACAAACTAGTTTATATAATAAGGCTTATTTTGGTTAAAAAACAAACAAATGAACGTAGTTCATATAAATAGAAAAAGGCCAAAGCATATAAGACAAAAGTACTCAGTCACTATATGTGAATGGTGAGATTATAAATGACCACTCTAGAGAGAGACAGACATATAGAGGCAGAGAAACTTTATGTTGAAAAATGGTTAATTACTTAGGATAAAAAGACATAAGCAATTCAGGAGTGATAGTTTGTACCACTGTACAACTTGAAATGAATGTTCTACAGATCAGCAAGTTTCCTAACTCAGGGCAGGAGTTCTCAGTACTCAGCAACAGCAAGGGTGAATCCGACCTTGATGGGAACGAGATAGGAAGTGATCAGTCTCTTGGGAGAGGACTACAGTCTAACTCACCATGCCTCAGCAGCCCACGGCAACCTGCTACTCCACTCTTCCTCCCCTCTCCAGCTGCTGCTGGGTGTGAAGGTGGGTGATGGGGAAAAAGAAGAAGGAAGAGAATCAGGTATAACCAGGACAGCTGTGTTAGGCAGGTCCGGCTTTACCAGTGGGCCTCCTCTGGGAAGGCCCAGGATCTGGTACCCAGAAGCACAGAACTTTGGCTGTCATGGTCTTAAAATTCCTAAGAATTTTATCTTCGAGTTTGTGTTTTGTAAGCAAAGTCCAAAGGAAGAACGGGGCATGCATGTGACCCGAGGAGATACACACACAATGTGTGTTTGCGATTCTTTACCTTGCCATCGACACATGTATTACTAGAGACACAAACTCTGGTAGTCTCACATGTTGGAGTTCGGTGAGACTCAGAGCGAGCACAGGGTAAGTTACAGCTATGACTGAGAAAGTGTGGGGGTAGAGAGGCCATGCTTTTTTCAAACCAAAACTTGCTTCAAATGCAGAAAGAAGGCAATGGTGTTCTAAGCAACACAAAGGACCGAGGGTTCGTATACCCTTTCCTACTCAGGTTATGTCTGTATTTTACTAGCCAACCACTTACATTGAAAATGATGGCACAGAGGAAAGGGGAAAAGGGAGGGCTATCCTCAATTCCTTTTCTTTTCCATCTTTCCTTACTCACCAGTAAGCAGAAGATACAGAATATTCATAGAAAGTGCATGCATCCATGCCATTGCGGATGGCAAGATTTCATTGTTTTTGATGGCTGAGTAATAGTCCATTGTGTATACATGTGGGTGTAGTTAGAATGTATTATGCTAAGTGAAATAAATCAGTCAGAGAAAGGCAAATACCATATAATTTCACTCATATGTGGAATTAAGAAACTAAGCAGATGAACATATGGGAGGGGTAAAACAAAAAAAAAAAAAAGAAAGAAAAGAAAAAGAAAAAAGAGAGAGGGGAACCAACCATAAGAGACTCTTAATGACCCAGAGCAAACTGAGGGTTGATGAAGGGACGGGGGTTGGGTATGGGAGAGGGGGGATGGGCATTAAGGAAGGCACTTGTGATGACGAGCACAGGGTGTTGTAAGTGATGGATCACTGAATTCTACTCCTGAAACCAACATTGTACTGCATGTTAGTGAACTAGAATGTAAGTAAAAATTTGAAAAAAAGAAAGAAAGAAAGAAAGAAAATGCATGCATCAAGAAGTGAAGTAAAAACACTTGAGTTTTTGTGTAGGGCTTCCCCTATTCTGCTGAAAATGAACTACATAGGCACGCACGAGCCCCAGGGGTCCCACACAGGAGTTAAATACTCACATTTGTGTTCAAAACGAGTATGGCAGGATATAAAGATGAATGGTAAGTTCATGCTAGTAAGTTAATATTTCCATTTTTCTTTCTTAAGAACAACTTGGAATAGCAAATTAAGGACTCCATGAAAAATTGAAGGAGACCAGTGAATTTCTACTTTAGCACTTTTAACAGCCCTTATTTTCCTACCTTTTGAACAAAGGGGACTGCGTTTTCATTTTGCACTGGGCCCTGCAGTTATGTTGTGGGTCCTGGGGATGGGAAAAGGAAAAGGGGCAGTAGGGGGTGCTAAGAACTACAACCCAAACCTTCCCAAACATTCTCCCTGAACCCACATGTGCCTTGGGTACATTTTGTACTCAATGGTCAGAGTTACCCTGATGCTTCAGACTTTTTAACATGACTTCTGAGACCTTGCATGAACTGGCTCTTCTTAGTGTCTCCTCCAGCTCCCTGCCACTATGCATTCTTCACTTCAGTTGGACCCAAGGTTTTCCATGACTTTCAACACACCACTCTTACTCTTTCACACCTCTGAGCATCAAAGATTTGTCTTCTTTTCTAGGATGCTCTCAGCTTCCCTCATTCTTTTAGTCTCAAGGTAACTGTCAGCTCCTCCAGGAAGTCTTCCCTGACTACCCGAGTCTGGGTTTGATGCCTCTCTTACATGTTTACATGACACGCGGGGCACTTCTCACATGATGCGCAGATGGCAATTCCCTTCGCATGCATCTGCATTCTCCACCAGACTGTTGTTCTGTGTCAGCAAAGGCCCTCCCTGTCTTATCTTGCATTTAATCCCAAATACCCAGTACACCACCTTTCGTGTATTGGGGTGCTCATTAAATATTGTTCAAGGTTCAAGGTATTGAGGGAAGGAAAGAAGGAAGGAAGGAAGGATTAGCATTGGTAAAGAAGTGACTGGAAGGTGAGGAAGTAAAAAGGTTGAGTAGAAACTTCAAGGACATAAATGAGGGAACAGGAGGAGGAAGCCTGGGTGCTGGCTGTCCAGGAAAGGGTAGCTAGACAAGGTGGAGTAGAGAGGTGAAGAATTGAATTTCATAAGCTGACAGACAAATGAGTAGGAGGGAAATACAGAAGGTGGAGAGGCAGCAGCCTAAGAAAAAAAGGGTCCCAGATGGCGATGACATTTTGGGATTGTAAATCATCGTCTCTTCTCATCACTAAATCATTCTGAGGGATTTAATATTTGTGTGACTATGTTTGTCTCTTGTGACTTTCTTGTTGTTTTATTGCTGTTTTGTTTTCTGCTTAAAGGTTTTCCTAACTGACTTGGCTAGTCATATCGGTCAAACTTTAGGTACGTAAAATTCAAAAATAACCCCTGAGATTCTTATCTAAACATGGGAGCCAGTCTGCCCGAGGTGAAATTTAATAACCACAAACATGCTCTGATTGACCATGACTTTCATAAAATACAGGAATAATACTGCATCACTGCTTATTTGTTCTCAAAAGGGAAAAGTACTTTTCAAATGGTAAAGGTTCAGGATTTATAGCTTCTAAACATAGGCGCGGCCTTAAAGAAAACAAATGTTATCAGGAGAATGTGGGCTTCTCATTCCAGAAATAATTTTTACTGTCCTTTGGAAAATGTGTGCATCTGACATGTCAGGAACGTTGGGCCCTCATCTCTGATCCTCATACAGAGTAACTGAGAATTCTAATAATGCTTCTTCATCTTTCAGGGTCTCAAGTTCCTCATCTAGGACATAAGCAGTTTGATAAACATAACTGGGTCAGCCATAATGCATTAGATCATGCTGCAGTTGCAAAAAACTCCTAACATCCTGCAGGGGTGGACAGGCTCTATTCCTAAGAATGAGGAACAAAATATCGGGACACCTGTGTGGCTCAGTCGGTTAAGCGCCTGCCTTCAGTGCAGGTCATGATCCCAGGGTCCTGGGTTCGAGCTCCATGTCTGGCTCCCTGCTCAGCAGGAAGCCTGCTCCTCCCTCTCCCCCTTCCCTTCCCCAGCTTGGGCTTCCTCTCTCGCTCACACTCTCTCTCTCTCTCTCTCTCTCAATCTCTCAAATAAATAAATAAATAAAATCTTTAAAAAACAACAACAAAATATCACCCAAGTGTCATCTAGTATTCTCAAAGATACTTTCTCTCAAGGGGCCAACATGCCTACTGTTTCTACCTTGCTACTCTGCTAGAGAATTCTTCTTTGGCCTCTGAAGAGCTAGATGCTGACAACATCTGGTAACTGGTCAAGACTTTCTTCTGGTTGACAGAGTTGTGCACTGCATCAATGGCAGAAGTGATCCACTGGACAGTGTAGCCTAGTAGTTAAAAGAATTACTACTCACTAACCATGTGACTTTGTTTTAATTTTTGTTTTTGCAGCTCCTTAAATTTTTTTATTAAAGTAAATGTATATTATTTGTACAGTTTTCTTCTGATTTTTATTTAAATTTTAGTTAGTTAACATACAGTGAAATGTTGGTTTCAGGATAACCGTGTGACTTTGGACATATCCAATCTCTCTGTTGTTCCAAGGACTAAACGAATTAATGAATGAAGGGTGCCTGGAACAACATTAACCAGCACAGAGGAAGCACTCAGCTAACATTAGAGCTGTTGTTAGAAGAGCTCCCAATCCCACAGGACTGTAGACATCTATTGCAACTAAGTTAATTTGGATCCAGAAGAGGTTGAGAGAAAAATAGGTCTTACAGCTGGAGGCTTTCTTTTAACATTTAAATCAACTATTGCTTTTTCAAGTCAACTCCAATTCAAGCTGTCCATTTACAAATAGAACATCATGTAATTTCACAATGAAATATGATTCTTAAAATAGAGAATGTGTTTGCTAATAAGATATCTTGAAGAAAAAAATAAGTAATCAACACACATTGACAGAGACAGAAAATAAGTAAGAAGGATAGCTTTAATAGCCTGGACAACTTTAACCTTTATGTAAATTTCACAGGTAAGGCAGTGTCATCAGTTACAAGGCAAGAGCTGAAATACGATTTTAAAGTGTCCTGGGTCATGATAGTAGCAGTATTTGTAAAGCAAAAGCCAGGGAACAATAAAAAGTCCTTCAAGGGGCATCTGGCTGGCTCAGTGGGTTAAGCCCTCTGCCTTCGGCTCGGGTCGTGGTCCCGGGATCCTGGGATCAAGCCCCACGTCGGGCTCTCTCTCTCTGTTCAGTGGGGAGCCTGCTTCCTCCTCTCTCTCTCTGCCTGCCTCTCTGCCTACTTGTGATCTCTCTCTGTCAAATAAATAAATAAAATCTTTTTTTAAAAAGTCCTTCAAAAATGTGTAAAACAAATTATGCTCACATCCTTGTGATGGAATTTTAAGCAGTTATTTTTCAGCAAGTTAGAACCATATGTGCTGATATGGAGATGTGTCCAAGAGGTACTGTTAAGCAAGAAAAAACAAAGTTCAAAACAGTGTGTATAATATGAAAAGAATATGCTTTATATACGGATATAAGTTCTAAAAATTTTTTTGGAAAGGTCTGAAGAAAATACCAACAAGGTTAACTTTTGGGAAGTGAAATTGGCATTCAGGAGGTGAGGAAAAAAAGACTATTTTATGCATCTCTGAATTCAAATTTTTAGCATCTGGATGTATGGCTTAATTTTTTTTTTAAGTTTTATTCATTTAGGAGTGCCTGGGTGGTTCAGTTGGTTAAGCATCCTGGGCTCGAGTCCCCGTGGCGGGCTCCCTGCTCCTCGGGGAGCCTGCTTCTCCCTCTGCCTGCCACATGCCCTGCTTGTGTTTACAGTTGTGTCAAATAAATAAATAAAATCTTAAAAAACCAGATTTATTTAACAAAGAGAGAAAGAGAGAGAGAGAGAAAGAGAGCCAGGGGAGGAGCAGAGAGGGAGGGAGAGGGACAAGCAGACTCCCCGCCGAGCTTGCAGCCTTATTCAATTGCAGGACCCCAGAATCATGACTTGAGCCAAAGGCAGTCGCTTAATCTACTGAGCCACCCAAGTTTCATCCCCCTCTGTATGGTTTAATTTTTAGGTATACAGTTTAAATAGGAAAAAAGAAGACTTAATTGCACAACAGGCACTGATCTTCTGCACTGACAAACCACCCTCGTGGCTGCTTTCCTTGGCTGGATCTTCAGTCCTCTTGGCTGCTATGTGTTCATGACATTGAGTTCCAATGATGGCTGTGTCTTCACATTTTTCTCCTCTGGGCTTAATTCTGCTCAGCTATGCCCCTCTCAGCCTCCCCTATTAACCTCTGATAATAGGTCTTCACCACTAGCCATAACCCCCTTCTGGCTACCAGCTAAACCCTTAACGGTTCAGGAAGGGGGGCTGCCCACCGTGATCACAAAGTGAGTAGCAGATGAAGGGCACAGACCTGATGCAGCTGGAAACCTCTTTCTTGTTTCATTCCTCCCTGGCCAAATGCTACCCATTCTTCAAGACTCTGGGGACGACTTCCCTAGAAATCCTGCCCTGAACTGCCATGTCAGAACAAACTCCTCTCTCACCCGTGTTATTCTACAGTCTGTTTTTATCTGATGGATATTTTGCACGTTTTGATTTGTATTTTCAGTTATTTGTGCCTGAACCTACCAGGGTCGTGTTCCAACATCTCTGTGTTTTTGGAAGTGCCTAGATAGATCCTTGTCCTCAATGAATGCGTAGTTATATATTAGTGGACTTGATTTCTATTAAATTGAAGTTGAAAACTTAAGGGTACAACCTGAAAGAAATATGCAAGACTTTCAGCCCTTGGTGGCAGTCATGGGTTCTGCTGGCATTTCTACTGTGACTGAGAAAGAACTGGGATTCAGTGTCCTGCCAAACAAGACCAGCCACACAAGATGTTAAATGAGCATTAAAGACCATCAATAAATTAGTGTCCTTGCTGCAAGTCCTCAGTTTTCTACAGACCCCTACCCCAAGTTATGTCCATAGTTTCAGAGGACAACACTCAGAGAATTCATACATCTCCTGGCCTTAATGTGTAGTTGTTTGTACATGAATGGGGGTGACCACTCTCATGACTAGTTAGCAACAGGACAGGAAGAGTGGAGAGCCTCTGTAAGAACTGTCCCCTGGCACCATGACTTCTCATCACTGACGTGACAACCCTATGGAGATGAGGAAGTAGCCTACCTTAAGACAATGACGGCATCACCAAGGCAATTTTTTTTTTTTTTAAAAACCTATGTCTGGTAAGACTACGCTGTTCTAGAGAAGAAGGTCCTATGTTTGAGGGGACAGAAACTGGCCACAGAGCTTCCTCAAAGTGCCTAAATCTTGGAGCAGAACAAAGATGAAGATTGCAGCAAGGTCACTTCTTGCAATGAAAAGGCACCAAGAGAGGATGTGTGTGTGGGTATACACACTAATGGAAGAATAAGCAGAAGTATGATGTGTATATGAGAAATAACAGGATAGGAAAACCCCTAGGTTGTGTTGGAAGGAGTCAATGGACTATGTGTGCACATGCAATTAAAGACATTAAAAAAAAAAAAGACTAGAAATCCAGTCCAGTTCTGTCCCAGCAGACAAAACTGTAGCTAAGTCACTTAAGCTCTTTGAGTACCAGTGTCCTAATCTATGACAGCGGGGTAAGCCTAGTCTGCCTAAAGTGTATCATGAAGACTCAATGACCTGAAAGATATCAACCTGAGCCCTCCTTATAAAGCACTGAACTCACTTCCAGAACTTTCCCATCATGGATATAATGGAAGCTTCCACATGTATAAGAACCAAGACTTTCCTTTTTAACTCTATGACTCCTCATACCCCGAACACACGGTCCATGATACATGGAAGAAAATCCAGACTCAACACCAATCACATTATTTTAAATGAATCTATAATTTTTTAAATGATACATAGTCAACCAACCTTTATTGTAGTAAAAACAAATATCCTGCTTCTTTCCTGCATTATATATTGTTATGGGGGAAACATCAATGCTTTCATTGAGGATGTCATCAAATAAAGTTTTTAGTGCAAATCATTTTGCTTCACTGCTAGAGGTTCATTATCAGAGAAGAGCAACAAGGAGCTCTACTGGAATGAAAGCACACATAGAGGAAAGAGCTAGCATATGCAGATGTCAAGCATGCACTTACTCCAGATATAAATGAGATGAATAAGTCCCAATGTACACAAGTGTAACTTAAGCATATTCCACGTTATGCTCTTGAATAAAAGAAAGAGGAGAAATGAAAAAGCAAGAATGAGAGAAGACTGTACTTTTGCTGTTACTTTCTTTCAACCTAGAACTTACCTTCCAGTATCACGGCAAAGTGTAAAATGAAGCAGAATTTAAATTCTAGGTTTTAAGCTTCTAACAGCTCAGTATCTGGTGAGTCAAGAGGTTTTCAAGGATTGTTTTGACCTTATGTATTTTTCTTTTCTGGGATGGGCTGCTTATGAAAACAAATGGCTGGAACAGCCATAACATTTAGTCTAAAAATGCCCTAAAACTCCAGGTTTCTGTGCCAGATATCATAGAAGACACCACTACCCAGGACTTGCAAATGTCACAAAATTCCATTCCTTGCAAAGAAAAAGACATCCGAACAAAGAAATACACACACACACACACACACACACACACACGCATACACACAGATATTTTCATAATGACAGGTTCAGAAACAGAACAAAGCAGACTTAGAAGAAAAGACAAACCAGATCACCTCAATCCATGAAGAGGAGAATCCCACCTACCTGGTGACCGCCCGGGTGCAGATGGTAACAAGGAAACAGCCAGCCACGATCATCCAGCCCCAGCCTCCATCTGGAGGAGAGGTAGACCGAACTCTAGTTCCTTTGGCCATGTCTGCGATTCTTTTTTCTTCTTTTTTGGGTTACTCTTATAGCCCAGTTACAATCCTGGAAGAGTTTTGCTGTCCAGTGACTTCCTATTGGCATTCAAGATTAGCATGGAATGCTACCTGGCACATAGGTTACTGGCCATCTAAAACCAAAAATCAGGATATATTTATTTCATTGTCATATCCAAAGGTTGATTTTTCACTTGACAAAAATGATAATTACTTTCCTGTGAAATATGATTATTTGTAACTATGAATGCTGTACTGAGGCAAAGACCATTAGTTGTCCTTGGTACCCGTTCTTCTTCTTTTTAATAAGAGATCCTCCCAAATTTTAGATAAATCCATGTCCACCCAGTTTGATACCCTATTTCCTAGCTTCTCTTGAAGGTAGATGTGGAAACACAGTTTAATCTAAGTAAAAGGGATGGAAGAAAAAGTGATGCACCATTTCTGGCTCAGGAGTTCAAAAGCAAAGGCACTTTCTCAGGACTTCCACCACCCCCTTTCCCATAGACAAGCTTGGATGTGAGGGGTGAGACAGCTTCACCCACACAGACCAGGACAGCACCCTGAGGGCTGGCAGAGCTACAGGGTAGGAGGAGCCCTGGTCCCCAGTGATGGTGGAGAAGGGCTGCCTCTTCAGCTCCGGACTTCACATACCTCTGCACTGTTACACAAAATACCAAAAGGCTTCCATTTTTTTTTGAGTCTCTGTATTTTGGAGTCTCTCTGTTACAACAGCTTAGACTATGTCCTACTTATGACACCAAATGACTCTGATAGTAACTTCTTTGGCATTTCTGACTAGCAATACTATAATTTGTATTTATTTTTGTTTTTAAAATTTCTTCTTCAATGCTATCATTTCTAAGTGTGCAATAAAGGCAAGATGAGAATGACAAATAAATGAACCAGAATAGAGAGCCCAGTAGCAAGTACATAATAATTCAATATAGCTAAATAAGGTAGCAGAGATTGGTGGGGGGAAAAAGGATTATTCAATATATCATGTCACAACTCTCCCTCTAGTTCTTAACCTTCCAGATAGGTTAGAGTTAAATGCAAAAAAATAAAAATAAAAAAATAAAAAAAAAACAAAGCAAGCAAGCATTAAAAATCTAGGTGAAAATACAGGCAAACATTTATCTGATCTCTAGATAGAAGGACTCCCTGCGATATAAAGTAATGTAACAAACTAAGAGGAAATTTTTGTTGATTTGTCTAAATTAGAATTTAATATTTCTACATATCACAGGATGTACTAAATAAAGCCAAATGATAAACCACAGACCTGCGAAAAAACCATTAGCAAGACATAGTTCAAAGAAGTAATATCTGCAACATTAATTCATTCAATTACCAGCACTTCCTGAGTGTCTACTAGGTGCCAGGCAGTATTTCAGGGCCCCTCCTATGGTCCCGCCTCTTGTTGTTCTTGACTGTGTATAATCTCTCCCCTTGAGTGCAGGCGGGACCTGTGACTTGCTGCTAACCAGAGTAGGGCACAGGTGACAGGACATGAATCCCATGATTATGTCATGTTATGTAAGACTCAGTCTTGCTAAAAAACTTGCTCTCACTCTCCTGCGGCCTTGATGAACAAGCTGCCATATTGCACATGGCCTGTGGAGAGGGCCATGTCAGGGGGGTACTGTGGGCAGCCTGGGGGAGCCAAGGATAGCCTCCAGGAGAGAACAAAAAGCTAAAGTTCTCAATCCTACAACAAAAGGGAAACAAATTCTGCCACAACATCCCAAGCAGGCTTGGAAGCAGATATTTTTCTGGTGAGCTTCTAGTTGAGAACAGAGCTTGGCCAACGTTTTGACCCCAGCCTGTGACACACAGAGCTGAGGAACTCGTTAAGCCGTCCTGGATTCTGGTCCCATAGAAACCGTGATATAAGGTGCTTCTTAAATTATTCTATAGCGTGTCAAACAGGCTTCTGAAATACTGTTAGGGATTAATTGTTTGAAAGACAAAAATAAGGGTTCTAATAGATCCTTTTCCCACAGGATGGAGCAAATCACTCAGTTGTTGGTACAATTTGATTATGATCACCAGATGAAATCGAGGTGGTATTAATTCAATGAAACATCATTTCAAATAAGACAAAGCATACATTATTTGGAACACAGGCTCTGTACCACTTGGTAAATCATGGGCAAACCAAATGAATACACATTTTTTTTACTTTGAAGACAGAAGTTCTTTTAAGAAAATGTCTCACAGTAGAAACTTGCCATCTTTAAAGCCACCAGAATAAACTGGAAGCCTGTGAATTCAGAGAGCAAACACAGAGCAGAGATAGTGAATGGGATTCATTCCGTTAGAAGACGGGCCCCGAGAACTCCCCTGCACCTTGTGCCACATGAGGACAGGGCATAAAGAAGGCTCTCTAGGAGCAAGGAGATGGGTTCTCACCCACTACCAATTCTGCCAGCACCTTGATCTTGAACTTCCCACCTTCAGAACCATGAGAAATAAAGGTTTGTTATCCAAGCCATCCAGTCCAGAGTAGTTTTGTTATAGCAGCCTGAATGGACTAAGACACCTGAAGCTTTAGATGTCCCAATTCCCTTGAGAAATGGATAATGCTGAATACAGCAGGCAGGCCTTCCTTTGTGGCAGCTATCACAGGGAGTGAAGGAGCAGCACATTCCTGGGTAAGGCCTGTATTCCCCCTTTCACCCTGTCCCTGACCTCCTGTCCTGTCCGACCTCACGGTCTCACTCACACACAACATGTGACAGGCCCCTGCAGGCACAGCTTCTCTACTTGTGCCCATACCGTGTTGCCCTAAGTCAGACTTTCTTGAAGGGCCAGATGTGAGTCATGTTCATGGGATGCTTTATGTTTCAGGCTCTCTCTCACAATTTCAATGCGACCAGCCTTCAAGGTTCTACCCACACCTGCACACAGACACAATGAAATAACTTACTGCTTAGACACCATTAGGTGCCAAGTGTCATGAAATGGTAGAATCAATTGTACAAGGAAAACAGCCGAAGCTCAGAAACCTCTGCCTTGGTTTAGTTCAGCCTCTTCATAGTTTTTCCATTGGAATAACCCCAAGGGTAAGTTGTTTTCCAACTGAAGACTGTAAGTCCACCAACACATAAATGTCCAATATCCAGACCGTCCCCAGTCAGTGCTGCCCGGTGTTGTTCAGGCGTGCTGGAACAGGGGCGCCTCGGGGGCCCAGTTGGTTAAGCGCCTGCTTTTGGCTCAAGTCATGGTCCTGGATCCTGGGATCGAGCCCCGCATTGGGCTTCCTGCTCACTGGGAAGCCTGCTTCTCCCTCTCCCTCTGCCCCTTTCCCCTACTTGTGCTCTCTTTGTCAAATAAATAAGTAAAATCTAAAAAAAAAAAAAAAAATGCTGAAAAGGGCAGTGAAATATAGTGCAACAAATGAAGAATTAGAAAGTTATTCAAATACTTTGCAGTAATCTAATTGCTCGGAAGTTATCCTAAGAAAACAATTTAAGAGAAGATGGACACTAGGGGTGGAAAATAATAGTTGCATTATGAATAATATATAAAATGGAGGCAACTTAAGTTCAATAACTGGGAAGTGTTTCGAGAGTTATGACACATGAACAAACAGAACAGTATACAATCCTTTCAAACCATCAACAAGAAGATAATATTGTAATAGGGGGAAACATCTATGATGCCATGTTAAGGGGAAAAACGGTCTCTAAAATGGTGTGCACATTGTGAGGAGAAGCTAGGTAAAACTTATGTAGAAGTTGTGTACTTGCAACTGTCGCAAAGAATACAAGGATATGCAAAAAGGTATATAGTTGTAAAGATGATGCAAAAATACATCTGGTATTTTTGTTATGAAAATTCTTTTCAATACCATTTTGTATGTAGTTTTCTTAGGTAGTTCAGGTCTACTCCTGTGATGTAAATATGAACACGGGCATTTCTTTTGCACAGACTCTCAAGGACTAGAAAGAACCATATCACAGTTATTGAAACAACACAGTGAAAATTAGGTGATAGTTCAGCAGAGGACATTATGTACATAACAAGCTCCTGCAAAAATAAACTGTTCTGTCTCATTACAAAAGTCTTAAGCATCATTAACTTTTACTTCGTCTCTTGTGTCTCCAGATGATTCCATTTTCACTTGTTTTAGTTGAGCAACCTCTCTGACATTCCCACATTTTGTAAGTTAAGATCTGATTCATGCAGATCTCTCAAAAAAATACAATTGCAAGAAGCTACATGAGTGAGGTAAGTCAGACGCCCAAGTAGCGCGGGGCTGATGGCACCGCGAACAGAGGTCTGTTTTAAGTTAAAGTCAACCTGGGTAAAACCGCAGAACCTGGAACATTCTCACAGGGTTCCAGGGTGGGGAGAAGCAGCTTGGAAAGTATTGGTAGGTGGTGCCATGATTAATAATTCCTCATGAACAGGCCCCCTTGAGCCTCACAAGCCTCAGAGATGGGCGCTGTTTTCTCCCATTCATGATGATGAAGCTGAAGCCCAGAGGAGTGAAGGGACTCACGTGGCAGTGCTACATGGAGATACGGGTGGAGACGAGAGACCCTGGCAGATTTGGACAGTGCGCTTGCCCATCCACCTTCCAGATTTCCAAACAGCTGTTGGACACTGCTATCAACAAGCCATACAAACAATGGTAAAGCTTCAGAACCCACTGCCATGAGTGATCAGGAAAGAAGAGAGGAAGCCCACAGGTTAACACAAGGGTATACTGCCCAAAAAGCACCTCGTGTTTCTCTCAGAACAGGTCATTCAATAGATTTCTATGTATTCAGAAGAAATGCACAGGTTAGACAAGGCTAACCTCGTTTCCTGGAGACTTTGGAGCAGCCTGCTGTTCCCCTAGAATACTAGCTTGCACATTTTTATAAATAATTAACTGCCCCGATATGGCACAAATATAAGAAAAAAGTCCTTTACTGAATTAATAGTATACCTAAAACTATATGGGAAGGAAGCATGTTACCATGATGTAATTCTTCATTTTACTAATTGGCCTCCAATTTATTCCATTTTGACATCCAACCACTAAAGTGTAATTGCATTCTGCATCTCATTTTGGTTCCAGAAAAATCTTTTTGGAACACAAGAGTCTCTATATTATGATGTTTCTCTAAGATTACTCTTTAATAATACAAATTAGGATATATGCTCAATTTCACTTCCCCTCCCGGCTTTAAAAAATTTAATCATTTGCAGGGACCCCGAGTTGCTCAGTCAAACTTCTTAAACATCTGCTTTTGGCTCAGATCGTGATCCTGGGGTCCTGGAATCAAGCCCTGTGTTGGCCCCCGCTCAGTGGGGAGTGTGTTTCTCTCACTGCCCCTGTTTTTCTCTGTGCCTCTCCCCCACTTGTGCTTTCTCTCTCACTTACTCTCTCCCAAATAAATAAAATCTTTAAAAAAAGTTTTTGTACTATTCTTACAACTTTTCTATAAATGTGAAATTATGTCTGGAGCACCTGGGTGCCTCAGTTGGCTAAGCATCTGACTCTTGATCTCAGCTTAGGTCATGATCCCAGGGTCCCGAGTTTGAGCCCTGTGTCGGGCTCCCAGCTCATTGGGGAGTCTGCTTCTCTCTGTGTGCTCTGTCCCTCCCTGCTGCTCATGCTTTCTTTCTCTCTCTCTCTCTCTCTCAAATAAATAAATACATTTTTTTTAAATAAAATCTAATCATTTGCAAAGAATTCTTGCTAACAGTCAATAACTTTCCACAAAAGCACCGCATTTGTGGGGCAAATCTTTCATGCTGACCTCGGTAAAGTTTTCTGAAGTGATCTCTTCTGCCAGTAGAAGACCTATGCATCTCTTACAGTCCATGTGTTGCTGAGAAAAGTCGACAACGGTCCCTGAAACACTTGTCTTGTTAGGGCTCCCAATATTATCTTGTTCTTTCCTTCCTCCATTCCCTTTTACTTCTGGTGTCTTAGCCTTTAGCTGTACCCTTCTTTATAAACTGCTTTGCAGCCACAAAAGAGATAAAGGTGTGTGGGAGAAAGGTAATCAAGAAAGGGAATTAAAACCATTGGGTCTAAGCGACATGTGGTAGTTGTTATAACCCTGTGCAAATCACCTTGTCTCTGCGACCATTTCACAATCTATAAAACCAAGGAGTTGAATTACTGTTTATCCTTCAAACCAGCTGGCTGATTATTAGGTACCTCTTCCCTCATATGTGAGTACCTGGTCGACCAGGCACTTCTCAGTAAACTGATCACTCTATTCTTTGTTTTGATTTAAGAATCATGAAATTTGACAGTATCTCTCATTTTTGAGGCATTTCTAAAATATTCCGGCACTGCAGGTAGTATTTTTGGAATATCTCTTGAGGTATTTATTACCTTTTGTTGGCAAGCTGGTTTTCTCTCGCTGCCCCACTTCTGTCATTAAGGCTAAGCCAAGACATTCATTGCTGTAAGAAAAAAGAAGGGTGAGTCCCCTCCATAATAAATTCATCCATAAATAAGGAATCATAGGCTTGGGATAACGGGGAAGTTTCTATCACACAAAGGGAAAGTAGTTTCTTAATTCTTTACCATACCACTTATCCACCCCTGGTCAAGACTTAAGATAACCGGAAGTGCAGTCCTGAAAAACCTAGACGGCTCATCACTCTTCCTTTTAAAAGAGCTTTCGACCTTCCTTTCTGGGTAGGCTTCTACGGTACACAGTGAGGATAGAAGCCAATACTTAGAAACCAGCAAGATGAGTGTCACCAGCAGACTGCCAAGACACCAATACTAAGGAAAGTTCTGCTTAGGCCAATGAGAACTCAGGGACCTGCCTGCCAACCACCTTGTCCACCATTACCATGAGGACACATGAGTTCTCCCCTAAGCCAGACAGGCAGAAAGGAGACAGAGGAATAAATACCACAGAAAGGAGAAACAACATTTACTTACAGATTAACCTTGGATTTAGCTAAATATTGACCCAAAAAGACTGAGCTAATATGAAAGCAAGTACTTTAAATTGGCAAAGACTGCTAGAAACTTTAAAAAATCGGGATATAATTCATACACACCCATTTTGAAGTCTATGTTTCAATGACTTTTGACAATGTATACACTCACATAACCACAACCACCACAACCAAGATAGAGAACATTTTCTTCACCCCAAATCCTCACCCCAAATCCTCCCTCATGCTCCTTTGCAGTCAATCTCGATCAACCTCAGTGCCAAATCATGGCTGATTTGCTTTCTGTCCAATATAGATTAGTTTTGTCAGGCAAGAATTCTGTAAAAATGGAAACATGCAATATGGACCATTCTGTTTCCAGATTCCAGATGAGTATTTCAAGATTCGTCTAGGATGTTGTGTGTATCTGTAGATTCCTTTTTATTGCTGAAGAGCAATGTGTATTATGGATATACTACAATTTATTTATGTATTATTTGTTGATGGACATTAGGTTCATTTCTGGTTTTAGAACATTATGAACAAA